ACGGAGTACGTGAATACTGTAAGCAAGTTCCGCTGTCGGGGGAATCGTAAATCTTAAATTCCGGCTCCTTGTGGCATTCTGATATATCTCATCCCATGGCTGCAATAGGCTTTGACACATTGTTAGTTTTCACAAAACTTGATTAAACATTATGTTTAACATCTCAAAGTTTATATTGGAATACTGTTTTAAATGTGAAAGTTTGTGTGTATGTTTATTTGTTACACTTTTATGCTGTATCAGCTGGACGGATTTGGGTGAAATTTGGTACACAGATAGATTATTTTACTGAACACAAAATTATTTGAATTATTTGCAGATCATTTTATTTCTTTTCAATTCGCTTTAGCGTTTAGTATAGATTTTTCAGAGATAAGATATTTTTCTGCAGTAAAAAATATCTTATATGTTGACCCGGATAACCAGCTATCATCATACCACATTTCATGAAAATCTATCCAGTGGTTTTCTCGTGATGCGTTTCCAGACAGACAGACAGATAAAAATTATAGATTCAGCCTCTGTATCGATAATAATGACTATTTTAATAATATTATCCAAAAAATATTTAATGTACAGATTCGACACAGAATTTTATTATATGTATAGATTATATCGGACTATGCTTGAGCTCATCTTTACAGCCCTACTTTTTAAGTCGGGGCTATATGATAAATATTGTATGCTAAAGTATATGGAAGCTAAGTTCTAGATAGTAATTACTATAATATATTATAAGCTGAAGAGTTTGTTGTTTTGTTTGTTTGAACGAACGAACTTATGTCTGTAACAACTACTTCGATATTAACAATTATTACTTATATTTTATAGTCTATTTATAGGTAAAGGAGGGTATCTAGCATCAAACTTCAACCTTTACTAGGAGAGAATTATAATATATACATACATAAATAAACACTTCCATAACCGTTAAGCGTGAACATGTATAATTTTATTTATGTTGCTTTAAAGTATGTCATTGTGATAACAAAAACTAATTTCCAACTTAAATTTAGTATACTTAAATAATTAACATACTTAGTTTACATAGCAACGTGCTCATCTACCTCTAAACCAAACGTAGCCCAAGTTTCATTATCGCATCTAAACAAAACACACCTGAAGCGGAAATCCTCTGTTACGTCGTGACTATACAACAAATTAGTCGCTAAGAGGCGATTAATGTCCTCAGAAGACGCTCCAATGAACTAACTTTTCAACAGCTACCTATCTCATTCTAACATATACGTATATCTCACGTTTGATAAGGATAGGCAACTTTAAACTATTAACACTCCATCAGGTGTGATGCAACTCTTTCCTAACGTTATTGTCGTATTGTTAAAAATACACTACGGTTTTTGTTGTTAGTTAACTATGTCATTTGAAAAGAAATCGTCAATGTATGCAATATAGAATAGATATTAAGAAGGCTAAGTGTGTTATATTACATCCTGACAGATCGTCCTGAGGCAACGCTATCGGTAACTATCAAGCAGTCGTTAGAGAACTTATATTACTTGAAAGGTGTAAGAGTTTTAGTATAATTTATTACCTAATAAATTTACTATTTATTATGTAACAATGACATTTGTAAGAATTATAATTTGCTTCTCACCAAAATTATGTAATGGGTAAATTAAATGAGCCTGTGCTAGTGCATAGTACTATACTCGTACTAAGTAACAATATTGAAGAGTATATCTGCGACTTTAAAATAACTACCCCTTATATAATAAATGATTATTTAAAAGTTAAAGGAAAAATGTTTTGTCTGTCTGTCTGTTTGTATCTGCTATCTATCTATCATCATATCAGGTATCTAGAATGACTTAAATGTAAGTATATATGTAAGTATCTAGTCTGGGGAGTGAAAATTTAGTCGTTAGCTATGTACAGTGTACATAAATGTATATGTATTGCTGCTACTTATCCCGTTATTACATTTTTCCGCGTGATGGAAGGATTGTGAGTTTTCTGGCATTAATGTAAAGTCAAAGTAAGCGATACAATGATCTATCTAGTCGAGTAACAATCTGGCAAGCGCAATTTATTCTGCTGTAGATGCTTATTTAATTCACTCAAAGATAGTGTATGTGTGTTTAATCTATAATTAATTTACTTAAAAAAGTGTATGGGAAATTATACATTAAAGTTTACGTTAAAGCGTAAAATTATATTGCTATACGTATATATATAAACGTGAAATAGTAAAAATAGATTCTGTTTTTCAAACTACAGTTTACCTATCAAAGGTAAGTAAACTTGGTATTATAATCTAAATATTCAAACCGCCGAGTGAGTTTCAAACTTAACTGAACTAATTAAACTCTGTTAAAGTAAAGGTATCATTCGACAGAGCAACCAGTATATTTAGGACAAAGTTACCGATAGATCCAATATCGGCGCTAAACAAAGGTTTACAAGAGTTTTGGACACGCCCACATCGCATATTCAACGTGGGACCAAAGTCAACACTATGGTCTAGGCCAGGGATCAGCTAAATTTAAAAGGCGGAAGAGCTAGCTGTAATAACATTATTGGTTTTGATGTATTGATAGATGGACAAAACGCCAATTTTTTTTATCAAACTAGTAAATACTGTTTTACTGTGTCTGTATACATTTCTATGCTAACTGCCTCGGTGGTGTAGTGCTAGCATGTACGGCTGCACACCCGGAGGTCCTGGGTTCGAGTCCCGGGTCGGGCTAAGTTTAGTTATTGAGTCTTTCTGTATAGTAAGTCTCAGTAACAGCCCGGAGTTGGGAAGTTGGCGGTGTTTCAGCCCCGTGCCTCGGAGAGCACGTAAAGCCGTCGGTCCTGCGCCTTAACTCTCACCGGTCGTGTCGAGTGGTCGTCCCACCGGAGTATGAGAGTGATAGGAATAGAGAGTGCACTTGTGTCTGCGCGTACACTTGAGCACTATAATATCTCCTGCGCAGTTGGCTTATCTCAATGAGATTGGCCGCCGTAGCCGGAATCGGCTAGGAGAACATCATCATACATTTCTATATCAATCAACCATTGAATGCTTGACAAGAATGGAACGAATGATAAGTTCTATGTTTATAGTTCATTGCCATTCAATTAAAATGATCCTGAGTTCAGGTATTCAAATTTATATTTTGTATGTTAAATATTACCTTTAAATATTACTAATCAACAGTATGAGACTTGATATTAAAAAAAAATGTGTGAAATTTCTGTGTGAAGTACGCCAATAAAAAATATATACCTCTTCTAAAACTGCAAATTTAATTTAAAATGTCTTCTTACAAGTTTTTAATTAAACAACTATTTATATATATTATTTGCAGCCAATTTAGGTAACCCGTAACCACTAATGACCGTTAAGTGCTTAAAATAAGGCGCTAAATTTTAAATCTAAAATAAACGTGAGTTCATATAATATTATGTATCTTGTACTATAAAATATAGTTTCGTTTATAATATTTCGTAGTAATAAAGTAAAATATGTAATTTACGTAAGTGTTGTTTATTTATACAATAGAAGAAAATAGTTCAATACTTCATTCTCGTCGGTTTGCCAACCAATTTTCTCATTTTTTGTTTCTTTTAATACTTATTGATAAGCTTTAGTGTTCTCAAAAGATATATTTTCTGAACATATAATTATGTTTTCCTGAAATTTTCAATTATGATTATGTTTATATTACGAATTTCGACCACTAGACGAACACTAGTTTTTTTTATATATTTCTGATTTAGATACATAATATTATCTATAGCTATACTCAACCTGCGGCCTTTCTTATTGGCCCATCTGAAGTTACATCTCAGAGTTGGCTTCCGTTTTAAATTGCAATTACTCAGAGTTGTTTGATGAGTTCATCGATTTTGAAAATGATACCTATCTAGAAGTTCTGTTTAAAGAAAAAAAGGAAAATACACCATGACTGAAACGTGTTTGTGGCCCCTATAAAAAATGTTGAGTATGGCTGATCTAACCTTATCAGATAGAGTACGTAGAAGTGCTTTCAGAATCAGGAAAAGCTTTTCAATTAAGTATATTTTTATTTATAACTAAGATATTTTACCACCACTTTCAATTATATTCATATTAGTAAAATAATGAATAAAAGTACATAAGATGCATTTTTTTTGTATATTTCAAAGATATATAAACATTAAACGTATCATTTTTTACCGCCGTCTCCTGGCCTACACGCTTTACGCATCGCCGCCACTGACCAATATGCGACGACTAACGTGAATTTCCATTCAATCTTCATAGCTTTTCAATAATATCGATACAGGCAATTACTTCTATGTTAGCTTAGCGTATATAGTGCAGGGGTACAAGGCCTTTAGTGACTATGTTATAAAATAAACAGCGTGACATATTCTAATAAACTTACAGTTTATTGATCGATTCTCGGTAGATTTCTATTTAGATAGAACGCCTAGAAAGCTATGCGTTGCATTTTTTCTCTGACCGACTTCAAAAAAAGATGAGCAATTCTAATATAACTGTATGTTTTTTAGTATGTAGCACATTTTAAGGTTATTTTTTTATTTATGTTTTTGAAAACATTTTTTACACTAAATTAATTATGGTTTCCATAGACAAAATTTATTTATTTTAAGCTTATTTATATTTTAATATTAATTGAAAATCTCAGGTTATGAAGGATTTAATATACAGTGTATAAACGGAGGCAAAATTAAAAGACATTAGCATAAAATGAGCATTTCGTTAATAAACATTAAATAATATTATTGTTAAAAATATAATTTGAGTTCAAGTCAGAAATCGTCAGCCATAAATTACTAAATAAAATAAAATTTCTTTGAAAATGTAAAAGTGTAATAAAATAAAACAGTTTTTTACGGTAATAAATACAATACTTTATATCTAAATATATACTAGGAAGTGCTAAATAATAAAAACAACAAACTTTACAATATTTAAATATTTACAATATATATACATAAAAACATTTACAGTGTCATTCATATAAAATTTACTTTAAAATTTAAACAAAAATCTGTATTTGGTAGTTGAGTCCATCGCCTCTTTCGCTCTTCAGCTTTATATTGGTGGATGTGAAACCCACGCCTCCAGACGTCACTGATGCTCTGGCTTTAGTTGACGTCATTTCAACCACTGATATACCCTGTAATAATAATAATAATAATATTCTTTATTTGTAGTGAAAAATCGGGTTACAAAAATTTACTCTACATAACTGTTACGCTTAAGACATAATAATATAAGATTATCCAGTAAGAGTGCTTAGGAGCTCGTACTAGGAAAACCTGTACTACGAGCACCGTTACCTTCCTCTAGATTTACAATATATGGACCAAATAGTTAACAGTTACTGAAGTTAGTAGATAATAATGGTAGAAGATAAAATGAATAAAATAAAAAAAATTGTTTGTGTGTACGTTTGTATATGTGTGTGTGGTGTGTGTGAGAGTGTGAGTATATATATAATTAAATATATAATTAAAACAAAGGTAATATATTACTAATATATGAATTACCAATACGTGTCGTGTGTATCGTTATTTCTTTTCTCGTATAGGTACTGTATACCTTACAGACTTATGTAGTTATGAAAGATAAAAGGAATATTTTGAAAGAATACGATAGCTGTTATTGAGAAGAAAAAGTAAATGAAGTGTAAAATTTTATTGTTTTAACGTTATCTCATATTTAACTACAAGCAATAGCGATTTAACATTGTGCTAACTATTAATGGACAAAACTCTATCAAAATACGCAGTCAATTAACACAAGAAACAATACAAGAAAATGTGTTATTCTATTCATGTATGTTCATATAATAACATTAAAATTGAGGTAGTATAAGATATTGAGTTTGAGAATCGCGGGCACACCGGTGTGTCAGTTAACAATTAATATCTTAGAATTTATCCTGGAGGAGGTAATAAATAAAATTGAAATGTGTTTGTAACGTTAAAATAACAGATTTTTACTTAATGCGTATAAATATACGGTACTTATAAGAACAACACATTTTTTTAATTTTTGTCTGTTTGTTCCAGCGAATCTCGGAAACAGCTGGGTTAAGTTTGACGGGACTTTCACTGACAGATATCTGATGTTATGCGGAGTAACTTAAACTACTTTTACTTTAGAAAAAGAATTAGGGTTCCTCTCAAAGAAATTAAAACTAGCGAAGCTAGTATATTCATGAATAACCATTAATAGATTATTTCAAATAACAGCTGATATATATATATACATACATATATATATACTAAGTATTTAACTGATATTACTGAGTCGTTATAAATGTATTCTGTTAGCCATTATTTTACGGATAAGCGAATACGATATTGTAGGAAAAGCTACTATAGATATACATAAATATAGTCCAGTGGTTTAGAAACAAAGGATCTGGAATAATGTAATAGTTTTAATACTGAATTCTTTATAATAGTTCCATCTTATAGGATTTTCCATGAATTTAAAGAAACGTATACAATGTACATACACTATCTGATAATAACAGCTGATGATATCTTATCAATATTATTGGTTGCGAAAATAAAAAAAAATGTGTTATCACAAAAAGAATCTGGTTGAAATAAACAGAAGGCGATTTTTTTTAAATATTATACATAATATGCACGTAAAATTAGTGGTAAAGACTAATAAATAAAAAATGGTTTGACACTTATAAATTACTACACTATCCTAAGCTATACATAAGCATCATATTATTTATTTATTTTATTTGTATTTTGTTTTACTAACATAGTTCTTAAGTAAATATATTGTACTAACCAACTATGAGCCTATGTTGCTCGCTAATAAAAGTTTTTTTTTTATATTTTTTTTATAGACCACTCTTATCGACGTTTCACGTGAATCGCCAGCGAACAATTGTATCATACACACTTTCATGTAAAATTTCAGCTATTTTAGACGTATATTTCATTTCCATGTGATGTTAAAAGTATTATGATGAAGAATGTACTCGAAAGCTCGCTGACATTAAACGTCTAAATGAACAGTGCGAGTTACGTATAATATTTATAGTTCAAAATGAATGTTATATATCTTAAAAATAAGCTTTTAATGAATAAAAATCTTTTTTTTTTACTAGCAAAAAATAAAATCAGAAGAAGAAAATAGAAAATCATCGAATAATATAACTAACCTTTATCGCTACGTTGCCATTGTAGAAGACGTTTTTTGTGCGAACTTTGAATGGTATAGCAGTAAGTTTGACGTTATCCACATACGCCAGCTGACCGGTAACATTACCTACCATCAAGCTTTCTGCTCTACAATGATCAACTAACATAAATACTGTCAATAAAACTGCAAATTTAAGTAAAACAGCCATGGTAATGTTAGTTATCGTTTTTAGTTACTACTTGTCGAAATTTTGTCACAAAACTGATTTTTTTATCTCGTTTTGTCACCTTTATAGTGGATGAGTATCTCGAGAAAAATGATTCAGACCCTTGAGATTTATCTTCGGATTTGATATGAATTAGATGCTTAACATTCGTGTATTGTCCTCAGGATGATTAAGTTTTATCAAAATTATCTATTGTTAAGATAAAACGGAGTGAATATTATGAGTAACATTCCTTCCGTTTTGTACGTATAAAGTCTTATGAACAAACAGTTCACAAATACAAGGACCAATAATCTAACCAATATAAATACCTTGCTGGTGTGGTCCTTTGGAAAAATCTACACTTCTGAAACTGAGTCCCAAGTAGGCAGCAATTAAAAAACAAAGGCTAATGATGATAATTAAATTATGAATGATTTACATGTATTCATGTATTAGATATAATTACAACTGTTAATATAGTTTAAGTCAAAATTATATTTTCTGGGATACACCACTATTTTTGTAATGAATTTGTTAGCTACTTTTAGGTACCAATTACCCGTCCAAGGCAAGCAAAGATAAGGCACTAGTTGTAGCACAAAAAAAATCTAAATATTGCAATTTTTATGTAAGATTATAAATTTAATGAATTAAAATAGTTATGGAGGATGTACTTTATAAAGATTAATTTACAACATGACTTCACTTCAAAATAGATGAAAATATAAGAGACTAGCGGCTCATGAAAAACAAAAACAGATCTATCCCACGGGAACCGTATATTTTCCCGGGATAAAAATGTGCCTATGTGTCATTTTGATGTATGAGCTAAGTATATAATTGTTAAGTTCATAAATCATCCAACCTCATAAGTCATAAACTTAACACTTGGTTATATACCTGATAGTCGTACCTATCAGTGGCGAAGGGTTAATTTTAGCAGAGGTAAGCAGTTCCAAAAATGTACCCTTTTTATATACGAATTAATTATATACATACATATATATAGCGTATTAAAATATATTTTTCTATTTCCCAAAAAGTACTCGAAAACGGGGACAAATTGTTGAAAAAATTCAATAAACAATATCTATGCTTTAAATCTTAGATAAGCTGCACCTTCGAGAAACGTCGAGTCCAAGGCTCGAAATTCGGATGAATTATAGCGATATCATATAAATAAGGATTTAAGGCATCAGAATAAATTCCCGGAGGCCCCCAGCAAAGCTCACAGTATTATTTTACGTGCAATTTGTTTGTTTTTATTGCTTTCGCGGGCTTGGAGGCTGCATTAATATTACAACTCTGGGTACATGTATTCAATATTTTTTGGAATTTCTTTAATTTTCCATGTAATAAAATTGTTTTGAATTAACACAATTTGCTATTCTACTATAATAAAATATTTATTATATTTTAATTATATTATATTGTAATATATTTAACAAATATGGCCATTTTCTTGGATGTTTATTTGGGATTTATGATTTTTCACTAACATTATAGGTTTTATGAATTATTAGTCGTTAGTAAAGTAATATAATTATGAAGCGGCATTAAATAGATGGTCATCTTTACATTTTCTTATAATATATTAGCGATTAAAAAACTATCCTTCTAACAAAACAAAACTTATAAATAATATAACTACATAGAGTATATGGGGGTCTGAGCGTTTATCCATGATAGCTGGCATAAGTCACCTAGCCGTCTTTTGTTCGTTTTTAATACAGTTTTATTTCGTGTAATAAATTCGTAAATCAACTTAAGAACTTAAATATAAATAGGACCAAATGCATTAATGTACGCACGTACATACATATTATATTTTTATTTAATTTTATTTATTTATTTTTATTTTAGGACAACATATTGCTAGTATTTTTTGTCTCTTTACGTGTATATCATCATCTCTATCCATATATTTCGCTGTTGAAAAAAAAATGGCGGCGATAGGAATACTACAATAGTTTTGTAACATATGAAAAGAGTGTGCTAATAGACGTTTTAAAAAGCATTAGATATTCAAAATGCGACAGCGTATGTAATCCTTTAACTAAGCGTCGCTCCGAGGTGACGCCTCCGAATTACCTCACATTAAGCCGAATTAATTACAACTAGATCATTCTGATACAGCCAAAGTGACAGGTGACATGAAACCGCAAGAACATGTAGTTGTAGCAAATTGTAATATCATAAAGAAGACTTTATTTTTCAACCGACTTCAAAAAGGAGGAGGTTCTCAATTCGACTGTATGTTTTTTTTTTTTTTTTATGTTTGTTACCTCAGAACTCCGTCATTTATTAACCGATTTGGACAATTTTTGTTTTGTGTGAAAGGGTATACTTCCAGATTGGTCCCATTTAAATTTCAAAAAAAAATACCACCCCTAAGGGTGGAAAAACAACTAATGATGAATTTAACCTACTTCTAATTGTCATATTGACTTGAAACTTTGCAAGTATTTCTATTTCCGTTGATAGTACAGTGGGTCGGTGTTGTTGACCTCATCTGATGGCAAGGCCAGAAGGTGGATAGGTGGAACTCTTCAACGGCTAATAGTAGATACTTTGAGTTTGGGCTTATTTTGTTTGATTTGACAAGCCTAACACGTTAGAATCCTTACTATGCTACTACTGTCTACACTAAAAAGGGAAAAATAAAAACTTTTTAACAAAAAAATAAAAACCGACTTCAAACAAAAGCACTAAAAAGTAAAAAAATAACTGATTGGTAGTTTTCATTTACTATACATACCTAATCAAATATTTTCGAAGTCGGTGTGCTTTGCTTTGTATGGGCTGGCACCGATTTCGAAAATATTTGATTAGGTATGTATTTAATAGGTAGGCTTTAATTACTTAGCCAAAGCACACCGACTTCGAAAATATTTGATTAGGTATGTATAGTAAATGAAAACTACCAATCAGTTATTTTTTACTTTTTAGTGCTTTTGTTTGAAGTCGGTTTTTATTTTTTTGTTAAAAAGTTTTTATTTATTTTGTTATATCTACCCACAATTATCTCACTTCCTTTTCCTATGTTCTTTAAGAGCGCCATCTATTGATAAATTTTAGAGCGAAGTATTAGAAATCGTCGTGCTCATGGGCGTTCAGCATGAAAAATAGTTTTGTAAGCATACAACAAAAGGATAAATTGAGATTTTCATTTTTCTTATCATATACAATATTTTTATATAGAAAACTAGTAGCACCCGCGGCTTCGCCTGCGTTCAAACTACCTACTACAAAATACTTTTTGACACACCGACAGCAGCGCCATGTACCGGGTTCAATTGTGTTTTTGAACCATTCATGAATCCATTGAAATATATACACAAAATTTCTTCCAAATCGGTCCAGCCCTTTAGGAGTAAGGTGACAAACACACGTACAGAAGAATTATATGCATATATAATATAGAAAATATATTTTTGAAGTAAAAATTCTTTAGGCGTGACTGAGGGGTGAATTGGAAAAATGAGTGTAGCGGAAGTGAGAGTCAAATTTATTAATATTTTTTTTAAATATTATATTTATTATCAATAACTTCATAATAATTATATTACATATAAAAATGAATGCTTATTACTGTGGAATGAATGAATCTGCTTAATATAAATTATATTAAATAAAAGCTACTAGGTGTGACTTATTTTTGCCATGGTAACCGTTGTTATTGTCGGCATACAATACATATACAAATGATATATAATATTATATTCTTTCCGTATATGATATTCGATAAATATATGATTGTAATATACCTAATTTAATTATTAATTCGTTTTAACTTAAAAAAAAAACAAAGAAGTTTTACTTCAACCGTGCATAAAGATTATACACACCCATTTTTTTTAGTTAAGTAGGAAATGAAGTAAGTATTTATCATATGGGATACATAATAAGTACATAGAAGGTATAAATAGCAAATACTTTATGTTAAAGCCTTCTCCGTAATAACTTATAGTCACAACACTTATTATCCAGCACTGCACTTTACTTTATTAACGTTCTAGGTTGGAATTGTAATTAAACACTATTTTTATTGAAGTGAAACTTCTTTAGAATCTTTGTTATTTGAAACTCGATGAAACGAAAATGTGTCATTAGAAAGAGACAAACACATAAATATATAGGATTAAGCCAGTGAGAAAATGAGATAGATTACATTACACAGGCTGTGAAAAATAATACTGAAAAATATGTCATATAATATATTATGTTAAATAAAATATAAAATAACTTTTAAACTCTGTAAAAAAACTAAACCTTACAATTATCCTACTCCTGATACTCTCTCTATATATGTTCTTCTCATTCTCCCGTAGATTACTTTACTGAAGTTTCATTCTACCATGTGTCATTTGCATACACACACTTTTTCTAAATATAATTTTATTTGCCAGCACACCTTTCTTGTTCGGTATTTAGGCAACGGATGGCTTGTTTTCCTGCTTTTATTATAACTTCAATTTCAAGTCAAAATAAAATCCATATTGTCAATAAAATAATTATTTAATTATGAGCGGAAAAATCTATTGAAGTACTAAAATATTTGTATACTTCAATAATTTCGAGATTATATGTAGGTATAATATTACATATTTCCGGTTTATCAAATATTAAAAATATCTAAAGTCCATAACATTTATAATGAGATACTGATATTATACCATATTAATTATATACAACTCAAAATCTAATAATATTCAAGAAAACGAAGCAAAAGCTTTCTGTGATAATAACAGACGTTTCATGTTCATTCATCTGTTCATGTGTCATTCACATTAAACTTGTGGAAGCCAATCTATACATCTGTACAGATAAATAAAATTGAATTATCTGTTTGTAATGTCAAAATGACAGCGTTTTACTAAATACATATGAAATTATATACGATACTTAAAAGAAAAACACATTTT